AATTACACCCAGTTTCAGAAATTATCGTTTTCCCCATCTTTGACAAGCTCGCTAACTTTATCGAGATGTTTGACTAAAATATCTACCACTCATCTTTGCCATCATTTGCTTACAATTTTTTTTACGATCCTTATTATTCGCATATGGAAAAACCAGTACAAACATTAGCATATATTGTGGCAGGATTAACTGAAACGGCCAAATTTGATGCATGCATGCTACCACACAACAGCTATTTCACATTAATGCAAAACGAAATTGCGATAAAGACATTAAATACTTGGCATGTGTTAAATATAGCAACGTCGTGTACAGTTTGACTTTAAAACTGGTTTGAAGACCGCAATGTTTGGCTCATTAAATGAAATAATGCGCTACTGGTATTAGTCAGTAATGGTTACGGATAATGGTACAAACTGATGGGTAATTCAGCGTAGGAAAATGAGCCAACAGGTGTAATATTGCAATGGCAAGAGTGTCGAGCATTTTCGACTTAAAATTTTTTTTCAGTTCATTACAAAATACATGTTCTTTATTCTAATTTCTACAAACATTATAAACTTTTTCGTAATGCAAATTTCTGTCAGCCAAGCAAAATTTGTTGCTTTTGTTTTTAGTCCAAATTAATTAAATCAAGCCTCTGATGGTTTTTGAGAATACCTTACAATTTCGTATAATTCTAAAACTTGTTAGTCGGTCCTAAGTGTTTTGCGCTTTTTTCTTATCAGGACAAGACCCTTGACGTGATATTAAATGTCAGTAACCACTATAGCTATTGTGTTTTCGTTCTATTCAATTGCATCTCAGAAACAGACAAACTCAGAGGTCATCTGTTTTTGTTTCTGACAGTGTCAGTCGGCTCATAGACGTTTAAGCATCAGGCAAGCTCAGAGGTCATCTGCGCCCCAACACTGTCTTTGTGGCTCGGCTCGGAGATCTTCTACCACGCCACTTATTATTTTTGCGACAAAACGTCAACGTGCCTTTCTTGTAATTATCGATCAGTTTTGTGCTTTGCTCTTTGCTTTGTTCTTTCTCCATTCTAATAATCGCCTCGAGAAATATAATGTACTCCTCGATCTTCTGTAAGGTTCCAGGTCGCATTCGTTTAGGAATCCAATGATGTTCCTTAGCGTTGGAAATACTTACCTGTTTGCGAACATAGGTGAGGCATTATTAAAAGCATGCAAGTCTCAAAAATTATCCTGTATTGAGTTTCTATACCATAGACAACTGGTAAACGACACGACTAAAAAATAGAGGAAATTTTTTCGGTCTCGCGTTTACTGCGCCGTGTGTTACCGCAAAAGATTATATACCTGCAAGAGGAGGGAGAAAAAACACCGTCATTAACGTCATCAAACATTTGATTCGCGTCAGGGTATCATTGCTGAGCTCGTATTCCAAAGCACGTTTTGGTTTACAATGTTATTATTATAGTCCTTGCCATGAGGAAGAATTTCAAACGGCTAAGAATACCGCAGAGCAAACGAAAAGAGGCTTCTTCGGAAGATAGAATGCCATTGAATAGGTATACAATTCTGAAACGTGCTTTATGCAAATTATTAAAATAAATTCCATCGAATACCATGCTCAGCGTACCATTAATTTATAGGGTTGTATGTAAATGATTATGAAAAAGCAATTCATTTTTCGGAGAAAGATTGCAGTTGTGGTTGCTCAGCCAAAGTTCCAAAGGAGAGCTTTAAAGCACTTGAACAAGATATATTCTTAATGGCTTAGTTAAAAGCAATGGATGGTGGTGCAATAAGTACTAGTACTAGCTGACATCTGAAAAATAAAATTCGCGCTAATAAAAAAACCTTTTCCCATTGAAATTACAACACACTTCTGTTACTGTGTCAAGAAACTTATCTCAATATGCTTGGCATTGGTAGAGCTTACTTTGAAAACATTTAATTAACAATGGTTTAATTTCAAGAGTTCATGGCAATATCAAACAATGAAAAACCAAAATGGTAATTGATTACAATGTTGCTACTGCTGTGAAAAATTTTTTAAAAATTATGCTGAAATTCATGGCTTACCAAGTCCAGGCAGAAGTATTAATATTATTCACTAACCACCCAAACCAAAATATGGAATATACAGTAAATCAACAGATTCTCATCTCCCTTTGCTATGACACATGAAACTTACTAATGTTTCGCAGAAAGCAATTTACCAGCCACAACCAGCCATTTGAACTCACATAATCAAATGTTCACTTTGTTTGGTTTTGTTGTTAAATCGTTGAGTTCTAATTGTCTTCAATTGTGACATTATAAAACACTAAATACGATTTTAAATTAATTGGTTATTACAAGGATATATTAATATTGTTTACAAGTTTATTACAACTTTGATACAATCAAACGTATAGCTATTACAAATAACTACATTATGTGTTTTTACTTAGCTGAGAAATATAATAATTTATAGAATTTAATTGTAATGACCAAAGCAATTATGCTTATACCACGTTTGTAAGTGGGTCAATTACGGATAATATTAAAAGAGAAAATCTAAATACCTTTATTATGTATCCGTAGCATTTTCAATATAGGAAATGACGCAACGACAAAGTACACACTGCTACACTGCTATTGTCTATAAATATGAATAAATTATTCTTCCGTATTTAAATTAATGTTCCGAGACTAAAGACAACTTGTACTGTAGTGGCAATGGATGTGCAAAAAATGAAAAATTTTCAATCTACACACAGCAACTATATTCTCTTCTATAGGCATTAAGGCCTATATGTTCTTATTATAGCAATCCAACCAGTTAATATTATATTTAATCCATAATCTTTAATTAATTCTACAACATAGCGTATTTGGTTTGCTAATATTAAAGGCAACGGATATTTTAGTATTTCGAGCACAACAATACAACAACAACAACAACAACAACAACAACAACAACAACAACAACAACAACAACAACAAGTTTTCTAACATCTAGACCATAATTTTGTTTGTAGAAAATAAACATAAACGTTACACTTTATTATGATTGCATTTGTACTATTAATATATATTAGATTGTGTTATTACAAAGAGCCAACGTTCCAGTTTGTAATCGAAGGATCTTCTCCCGACTTGGCTGCAAACTTGGAATCAACACCAAAGGCATCAGCAAGGTTTACTGCACGTTTTGTATTACTGGGTCCTGCTGCCATGGCAAATACTGACACAATATACTCAGTGCCATCACTAGCAATATAGTCCACGGCACCAACATCAGTAAGAGCATTAGAAACAAGGGCTGGGTAAGTGTCAGGGTTTTGATAAAGCCTGGCAAATAAGTTACAAAAATACGTTTATTTTAGTATAAAGGGTGAATATCAAATAATCAAGGATAAATAACAATGTATGTTTACTTACGAATACACCAATTCTTCCGGCGTGTATCCCTTTGACCCAGCCATTCCAGCCCACGAAGCGTAATAACCGACTGCAGCAAGTTCGCTAATAAGCTCATTGCCCTGTACAAGATCAGTTTTTGTTCCTTTAGCCAAGTCATAAAGATAATTATAGCAAAAAGTGTCCAAGGTACTAGTAGATATTGGAAAACAAGAAAAGTCAATAATGTAGTTGCGTGAGGATAAGCAAGTTTAGAAAGTAGTGGGGGAAAATGATCTATTAATAACATTGCTAATGTGATTCAAGTGAGAGAGAGTTTGTTGTTAAAGATATTCGCTTACGGATTATCGTTCACAAGCGGAAGTCCTTGTTGACTTCGTATTACGTTAACAGCATCAGCGACGGTCTGTGAAGCGCGCGTAGCAAGGGGCGTGACAGATTGTATAAACAAGAGAGTAAAAAGTATCGCGATCAATGCCTTGAATGCAATCATGTTGATGTTGAATATTGCTTTTTCTTATCGGGTAGACAAGTGCAATTGATCGTGGCAAGGACGTCGAAGCGGGGGGGGGGGGTTTATATACAGATTTTGAATCGAAATTAGATCGTGCTGTTGTTGTTGTTGTAGAATTTCCGTGTTCTAAATTTAAATTCAGTGTCACGTCAAACAGCGTTTATTTTCTGATGTAGCAATGCACGGGTAACAGTGGAATCAGTAGCACAAGGATTGTGCTCTTAAACACTGCCTTTTTGACACAATATATCCGATCTAAAAAATCCCAAAGTTTATCGTTATTTGGCGAACGATAATAACCCATCGTTCAATCACCGTATTTTCCGTACGCACACAAGCCTATAATGTGAAGGCGCTATGGATAATATCTTGCGATTTTCTTTGTTTTCCCAATGCGTCTCTAAATCGGGGGTGGTTACATTGCTCTTTATCATCTACTTTCCTTGTGTTGTGTCTTTCAAAATACATTGCACGAAGTCTTTGGCTTGCATTATTTACAAGAATCTGGTCTTGTGTCCCGTTCCCGCAGCAAACGCTTTCAATTTTCTGGAAAAGCTCTCCGAGAAAAGATCGTTCGCCGCAGGGTCATGCGTTTAGTTTCATTGATCACGCTGTTTTTTTCAACTGATGTAGCAAAGCGATCAGCTGGGCAATTAATCGACCGGGCAGACACCCGCTTCTTTTTTATGAGTCATGAATAGTAAAATACGTAAAACTTGCTTGGATCTTGCACAACGCTCCAAAGAAAAACTAAAAATATACAGCCAGTGAAGCACTTCGTGTAGCATAAACTCGTGTTTCGTTTCTTCGCATCGGACTTATTCTCCTGATAGTTAGGAGAAGTTTCATTCGTATTACAAACATGGTGATATAGAGATAGAGGTCAAAGTCTTCTCCCTCAATTAAAACTTGAGGTTCTGGGAAAAGTAAGACAGAAACTGGTCGCTGTAATTACAAATCAAGGTTAAAACTTTAGAAAAAAAGGACGACCCAGAATAGTGTATACTTTGTTGGTTAGATTATTGACGCAATGATCTACCGGCATATAAGAAGTAACTTCCGATATGCATATATGCTGTCCAACGCGACTATGCCAATCCTCCTGCTTTTTGTGAAACGAATGTCAACGCAAAACAAATAATATTATAATCCAGTCGTAGTATCACAAGACGGATACTATCGGTCGATTATCGATCTAATATTGATTTGTGATATTGTACAGTCATCCCCGAATTTCCATTGCAAGTTTAACGCATGAAATTCATTAATCGAAAAAGCTAAAATTTAAATATTAATATATTGTTTCTAAAGTTTCAATCTGCGAGCAAATGTATATACGAAATTGTTACCACCTGAATGCCCCTTTATTGAATAGTAAAAGAGTTGATAACAAGTAAAAAAGGCATCATTATTCTAATCTGGTCACATGAAAACCATTCTAGTTATGTAAAAATCTTGGTATCAACGACGTAACGATATAACGCGATTTTACTATTACCACTGGATTCTTTATAACGAGTAGATTAACCGTAACAATGCTTGTTACGATGTAATGTTCGTTTTATCGCTTAACTAGGAGGAAAAAAAACTATAGGAAAAACAAAAAATTGTGCATGAGTTACAATTAAGGCATTGATAAAGGGATCACTTCAGTGTCAAAAAATGTTCTGCTTTTATTTTCTCATAAGCGATTTACATCCTGACTATCCGCTTCGCATTTGATGTCATGACAGAAGGCCCTTTGCTTTTTGAGCGTCAGGGTACAAATCTTTTATTGTTCATCAAGGTACGAATATAAAGTTTCGGTATAATTATTAACGGGAATGTATAAAAACCAAATGAAACAGTGTTTGAGGTAGCTACATTTTCTTCCTTGTATCAGGAGACAAATTCCCCTATTACTATTCCAATATCCACTTTCCAAACTTTCTTCCGGCGTTATTGTATTTTAGTCACTTGATCGGTCAACTCTAACGCTTTAAACAATCATGTCCTGCATATAAGGAACAATTTCCTTTGGTATCTGCACTCATTCTTCCCTTTTCGTGCTTTTCAAGTATCCCCCTTCTTCCAAAAACCTTTCTACGCTTTGCTCCTCTCCAGCAAAGATGGCTCTACCAGTCTGCCAATCAACCAGTACTGGCTTTTTATCCGTCTCTAGCTGATTTCTTGCCCCTCGCAAGACTTCCTCTGCGGTGCTCGTATCATCACCGCCTTTTGCCGCATTTCCAACTTCACTCTTGGCCGATCTATTCAAGTACGAGGAAATAAGCTGTACCTGATCTGGAGTAGGAGGATTGCGTGTGTAGTCGAGTACGTCTATAGAAAAGGCATCCGGATTCGTTCGGAGAGAGGTCCTGAGCAAAGATAATGTGTTTCTTGAAGCTAGGTTTCCCGGATTATGGAGCAGAGTTAATATTGGGGTTATTCGGACATTGGGCATTGTTTTTGACACGAACAAAAGTTGATGGGCAAAGGTGTATTTAACAAGCAATGTTACAATCACACACCATTGTGACACACATTACCTTATACTTTTTGGGAATGTAGTTTGATTTGGCCTAGTTCCATATCGTAACGACTTCTGCCACAATTAGACGATTGACCACTATTCGGTTAATGTTAGGATACCACATTGTAATGACATCACATACCAATATATCAAAACTGACAATTACCAATTTTTTTATTCTTTTGTTCAATTAGTAATGATTTATAAAAAGTAATATTTCTTTTTTGCCTTCTTGCCTCCCGTCTTTTTCAGACGGCTTCAATATAACGTCCCAATTTCGTGATTGACCGGTTCGTTATCTTGTAATTTTCGGGCTTGATGATGCGTGCGATGAATAATTCAACTAGTGCACTTCAGAAAGACTCATGAGCCATATAAAAACCAAGATAAGATTGCGGCTATAGTTACTGACGATCATGGAATGATGAAAAATAAACCCGTGATGCAAACGATATTTAACACGTAGATCGAGCTATAAAGGTGTCGCTTCA